CTTCATGTCTTCGTATTTGAGAAACAGAACATTGTCATCATCTTTGTGTTTCCACCATCCCAGAACATGTTCGGTCCAAGACCCCCAATATGCTATAAACAAGAATAATAATTAAGATCAGTATTAATGAAGATTAGCTCCGTTCGCGTCCCTTTCTGACACTCGAATTCGTTATATCAAGGATTGCAGCATAGACAAGAGAATCCTGTTGAGAATAGAGCAATTTCCAAGAGTTTCGAAAGTAATCCTGTATCACGCTAGTTTTGATTTCTTACGATTTGTGATTGGTTGAGGCAACTAGCATCAACATGCGTCACCATCTCAGTCATTCAGCTGAATGTTGTTTTTGCATTTAGTTTGATCAAAAAATGCTCCTGTCGCGTATCAACGAGTCGAAACAACGTTTATGCCTTACTTGTCCCCTTGATAAACATGTCAGCAAAATATTCAAATGGCCCATCATAGTCCGTCACAGGCGCCATTTTGAGGTCGAAGTTGTAATAAGACACCACGACATTGAATGGATTCCTTGCAACGTATATGTATTTACATCTTGAGTTTTCGCTTGTTCCTTTGGGAATTGCATGAAATGGCTGATGAGTCTTCATGAGGCGTGGACTGGCTCTAGTGGTGATGTCAGGCTGGGTGGTGTGGGGAAATTTGGCTTCGTCAAAGAATTGAACCCGGTGACCAATAGGATGGCGACTAATTTCTCCATCATTGAAGATCTGCCAAATGACCTCTTGAAGCCAAGTAGTTCCTAGTGGATTGAAGGAGGAGGACCCGCGATTTAAGAGAAGAATCACGCAATTTTGAAGAAATGGTGAGAGAAAAATTCTCAAGAAAGTAGATAATGTTTGCATTTCCCTCACTTCACTTGGTGATTGGTCCAAAAGACGCGCCTATTTCTCAACCAATCAGGCGCAAAACTTAAACCAATGGTGCCTTGGGTAACAAACCTATTTCCTCGCTCAGTGAATTTAATGCATGTTGATTTTCTCTGTTCTAACTGGGCCGTTGTGATTACGTTGGTGTTGGTTTTAAGAACCTCAATCCTAAGGCGCTCTAATAAGTCAGAAAATAGTTTGGGAAAAATTATTTTTTTCTCTTTTTAGACCTCGTTATCATTCCTTTCGAGGAATCGAACTTACCTGACCTTGGAAAACCGACAATAAAGACATCATCGTTTTTGGTTGTAAAATTTTCGATGAACTCTGCAAATCCTGTCAAATAGGTGTACACATGAGGCATTCTGACCCCTCTGACCATAACAGCCTTACCGTGACGGTACTCGCCATCTCTCTCTTGTATAAGCTCGTCACTTGCCATGGAGGACGCGAAGAGGAGCTATCTACTGGTTAGAGAAATGGCTGCAACAATGAGAAACAGACAAACTTACAAAAACAACGTAAAACAGGCCGGCTTATTTGTTTGTAGATTCTTTTAAAAAACTTGTGTGTGTACAAGGAGGTCTAACGACAATGGAGACGCAAAACATTGCCAGCGACGTCTCGAAGACGATCAGAACGAAGAGAAGCAATAAAAGATTCGTATTTACCAACAGCAAAGCAAAATTATTTAGTGTAATCTTCTTGTCATGTGATGAATCCTTAATTGACAAGGAGCATTAAATCAAGATAGCTCAGTAGTTATTAGCATTGGCCTATGCCCGTAGCGACGATCCGTTCATTTTTCGCTTAGTTTTGGTCAACAACCATAACTGTAAGCATTTCTATTTCAAAACTAAGTTCAGTAGTGTCATAAATGGCCAAGTACAACAGATATGCAGAGCGAAAAAAAATCGTAGGCAAATAAATGAATAGTAGATTTTATCTTGCAGTGCCTCTATTGAACAAATAGATTCCAAGTTGCCGTACGTCTGTTCAGTAATAGATCACAGATGACGTCAAAATGTGGTAAGAACAAAAAAGTGGCACACGAGGCGTAGCCGTTACTGAACAAACCAATGGCAACTTAGAATCTGTTTGCTTTTTGATGATTAAAAGCAAAATGTTCTAAATGTTGACGTCACCTTATGCGTCTGTCCTCCAATAGGTCATAAGTAAGAACCGAAACTGGGAAACTAAGAAACTCTTTCATTATTTTAGGAAAAAAGAAAACCAAGAAACCGAACGATGCTTTGGCAAAGAGCTACTTCACGCTGATCACTTACGTCGAAATCGTGTGCAATTGAATTGATGGGAAAAATTGAGCGAGAAAGCGATATTTTGTGACGTAGAATCGTGAGGAGTAGATCAGAGGATACAATCATATTCTTCCAGTTATGCGAACCAGTGATGTGGTATCATAAGATGACCTAAGTTAACTCCTCGGCGATCTCAGTGGGCGGTTTCGAGGGAAAGCTGAAAAACCACAAATTCTCATCTTTTTTCGTCGCTCGTAAAGCAATTTACAGATCAATGACCGAGTGCGATAATTCCTTTTTTTTCTCTCTAAACACTGTAACGCAGCACACCCCCAATAGCCCTATTCCTCCTTTTGATGCGCTACACAATCCAACAAATTCCCCGAATGATACTACCCAATTTTCTGTTATTACTGATGAAGGCACATAATATTGTACCAGAGAACACTGAATAGTGTACATCCTAAGAGTTAAACAATGAGTTGTTCGTAATCATTCTGTCCAACGCGCTGCAAAAACATTTGTGTTGGTAATCACATGATTTCGAGTGCAATTTGGAATAAATAAGCACGAGTAAATTTTTTCAAAGAGTAACAAAATTGCACGAGCCCGTAACGCAAATGCAATTTGTGGTCTTTGAAAAAATCAATAAGTGATTATTTAGTCCAAATTGCACGAGAAAAATCATGCGATTACTTATTTATAATATACATGAAAAAATACGAGATAGCTAATCATAATTATGCAAAAGCAAAGCGAGCGCATCGGGTGCAAAAATAATTTATTCAAACCTGCAAGTGACATTGTGCGTTCGGTCAAAACAACCGCGTACGATCAAAACAATAATATACAATGACATTTTCACAACTTTAAGGCGCAATGAAGTTCAAAGTCCGGCTTAACAGTTCAAGGAATTGTTCAGTCTGTGTCCGAATCACTTTCGATGAAATGGAATCGTCGTTTGCAAGGTCTAACCATGCTTGTTTTTAATTTCGGCGTAGAATCACTCGAGTAAAGTGTTAAGTTGTGTCGGCTCGTAATTTTCGATTTTCTTGGCAATTCCCTTCTTTAAACACCACTTTTTCCAAACCAACAACCAAAAAGCAGTGCTTGTTAAGGTGTTTCGTTGTTAAAGCTGTTTTTCAGTTGCTGTATTGTTGTTGCGGTGGCGAAAGAAAACCTACTTCTAACACTGGCTATTGTTTCGCTCACAAATCTTTCAGCGTATCTAAATGTTGCAACATCGATCCAAGGCTCGCATTTGATTGGCCTTTCTGTGAGTTTTTTTTATTATTGACCAATCAGAATGTCTGGTTTGTTACTTCTTTGCACTGAATTAACCCTACTCTGCACTGAATTACCTGAAGACTGCATTTATCTTAACCGATCAGAATTGAGTCATTTTTTCATGTATAATATCAAAAGGATAATAAACACAATGGCCTCCATTTGGCGCAAAAATACGCTCCTTTATTTGTCCTTGGACAATATCTGTTCCTCGAAGCTTACAGATTTCTTTGAGCTTCGCTCTCGGAAAACTGCTCGCTTCTCGGAACGAATATGATCAAACGCAAACAAATAACCAAGCTTATTACACAGCTTGAAGCCGCTGAGGGTAATACAGAGCGAATCCTGTGTTCTTACTGGCTACCCGAGCGGGCAAGATGAGCCACCTTGGATCCCGCTGGAGATAAACATTGTGAGGGCAACGTGGAGTAAACTTACAAATTCCGTAATTTGTTAGACATTATCGGCGATACGAAGCAAAATCGGCAGAAGACAATCAAAACAGAGAAAACATGAACGATTCTCATGAGTTTAATGTGCTTCAAACACATTTGGCTTTCTTTCCCGTCTCTCGGAATAACGCGTATAGATATATACATTGATTTAATGCTGATTTATATATTTAAACTACCTTATCAACTGCCAAGATACATGTCTATATTGTGTCAACTACTGAGGGGTCTTTCAGGCCTAGACATTCTTTCCATACAAGATCTTTACTCGCTATAAAGGACCATAGAGGGCATGGAAATACTCTACAGGATCCTTGAAGAGTCGACTTCTTAGGGCCGGTGAGTGACGATGCAGTTGCATACGTAAATTAACAGAGACAGATAAATATCTGAGGCTGGAAGAATCATTGTTAAATCATACCTGTTCCCCGGAGAGTGGTGGTGTCTTCCCTTTTAATAACCACGAGGGGAAGAGGAGCAAAATTTGGCTGTACTTCCGTGCAATCTACAAAGCGACTCGATCCTGTCAATTGATATGCGATTCCGTAACGCGCCTCTTGAAAATCCTATCAGCAACAGTGTTCCACAAGCGATTCTTTTCCTTGCAGGGTATCAGAAGCGAAGCCTATCGTGCGAGGGACGAAGTGCCAGAACTAATAAAGACAAACTAGAAGTCATAGCTAGGATAGCTTTCTATTCCGTTTACGTGGAACAAGTGAGTTGAGCGTGACTAGTTGACGTAAAAGGGGAGGTAAAAAAGAGAGAAAAACATTCAAGAATGGGAGAGGGGTGTGACTAACTTCCCTTTCCGTTCAAAAGAAAGTAGTGCAGTAAGACTGAGCCCCTCCCTCCCCCCCCCCTTCTTACCCCATTGAGGTGTCATTAATCTTAATGTATGACCAGGATTTACATTAAAAGGGAGCAATATACAACAATGAAGTACTGATATGAAAACTGAGATTGATTAAAAATTAAAATTACATTTAGGTGTTTCGTTCGTGATAATCGTCCTTGCTGGAACGTTTCACAGATTTCCAGTTTAATTTGAGATGGTTAAGTGTTCGTGATGTCATCCGCCCATTGGGACGACAGGAAGATTGATTGCTAATTCATTGGTTACACCTCAATAAAATTAAAATTTGACGCCTAAAAATCACTCAGCCGTGCAAGGTCAAACTCTTACGCTGTCTGTATTCCAAAGAACTAAGCAAGCGCCTCGCTGCATGAGCTCCCCGCGGCGCACTAACATTGCTTTTTTCCGTTTACACCACAGGTAAACGAGGAGCAACAAAAGCTCTTTTCAAAGAGGTCTAGAAGCTTAGACAGTATCCCTCCCACTGGAGCATGACTTGAGCAGCACGTCAAAAGAGCAGTGTTCTAAGACGGCTACGTATGGGGCCAAACCCTCCTTTGTCAGAAAGTGCTTCCACAACTCATGGTCACCATTCTGGAAAGCTCTACCGCAAGCAAAGGAATCTTGTCACGAACTTATTCGATGTGGATGCAGAGCCTCATGTAGAGGACGATGCTACTGCTTAAAAGTTAATTTGGCATGCACTGGTTTGTGCAACTGTGGCGGCAACTGCCAACAGCCATAAATATTTACAACGGTGTCTCCAACGACTAGAGTAGATCGACTAAGAATTAGGCATTATATCAGTCGTTTGTTGAATTTTGGTTAGATAGGAGAACATTTTAGGATTTCACCTAAAGCGCCGTTTAAGAGAAATGTAGCTGAACAATTTACCACAGGTATCGCGAGTCATGTTGACCAAAGCTTATTTATAATAGCTGGTTGATTTTTACTAAAGTAACGGAAGAGAATGTCAAATCAGCCAAAGATATAAGTTTTATGTTTCTAAGGTAAACAAGTTTTATCAATCGTGACTCAGAAAATAACGTAAACAGGTATATTTAACGTTTAACCACAGGGCACCCAAACATTATGATAAATATCATAGAGGATAGTCACGTAATAGCATAAGATGAATACGAACGGACAGAAAATAACTCGGTTGTTATGTTTGTAGGCTTTTGTCGCCAATTTCCCCAAGCAATGTTGTTAAAGAGGATTTTTTTTTTATTCTTAGCCTCGTTTCCATGTTAGCGAATTTCTTACATGCGTGGTACTCGTCACGAGAAGTTAATTTGGATTGGCCCTATATCAGAAAATGTTAGTCTTGGGGTCATAAGAGTTGTGGCAAAGTTTCATGCTTTTATCATTAATTTGAACAATTCAGTGTTTTTTTTGGTCGCTAACAGCTGGACTGGGATGTTGAATTTGAATTTTTAGAGTTCACAAGTAGTGTCACGCGACTTTTGATGTTAATAAACCGCGAAAGTCAGTCATAAAGTCGGTCAAGTACTATCCGTGTACGAAATTCGGCTTCGGCATGTAAATAATTTCCACTGTCGTGAAGCGTTCCGATGCTCAAAATCCATTTTTTTATATATGTTTGATTATTTATCAAGCGAGTTGATATTTGGCGACCGCTAGAGTAGATGGGAGGAATGTAGCAAGAAGCGTTCTGGTGTCACAGCGGATCTGGACCCCCTGGTCCAAATCCGCTGGTGGATATGGACCTCCTACCAAACTTTCCTTTTAAGCATCGTTTCTATCATATTTGGTAACTAATTCTATTTGCAAGCTTTTTGTCGATGTTTCAGAATTTCTACTTGGGCTTCTTGAGGTTACAAAACTCGCTAAACAAATCGACACAATACAAAATTCCGTGTGGGGAAACAAGGCTTGCTCACGTTTTTACAGCGATTCGTGAGCACAAATTTCCTGTTAAAGGCGGGATTACTTGAAATCTACGCGCTTAACTCCCTGATAATACCTGATCAGACACATCACTGTATGCGCGCAAAACCAGTTTGATTATTCCATGCTGGAACGCTTCCTGCTACATTCTTCGTGGTAACAAAATATCAACTCGCTTGATTAATGATAATACATATGATACAAAAAAAGATCTCAATTTTGAGCATAGAAATGCTTTACGATAGTGGAAATTATTTACAATAAAATGCCGAAGCCGAAGTTCGTACACGGGTTGACTCAAAGTCCGAACTTTCGCTGTTTGTTTACATCAAAAGTCACCAGACACTACACGTGAAATCTAAAGCCTGAAAGGTGAATTATGTCATTATTTACTGAGCTTGGGTTTTTTTATCATCATTTAAGAAAAAGGATTTTTTTATCAAGCAGTTTCAGTTGTAATGATCTCAACGTGTTGAATGCGAGTCTTTTTGGGCACAAAAAAACCCTCTCGTAACATACGAAAATTGCCTGCCCTCTGGAAATAGGATTTGAGCATGCAAAGTTTTGATTGGCGCAAATTAACAATAGCAAGTTTAACGCGTAACACCGGCTATTACCCTTGTCTAGGTTCTCTAGTTCAAGACAAGGAGTCCGGCAACTCGCTAACTGCGTCTTGAGCGGGGACACTTAAGAAGAGACTTCCACACTTAAAACAGGGCTTAAGGTAGGAATCTCGTAGGAATCTATGCAATTAATATCGGAGAAATTAGCGTACTCTTTGCATTGCTAATGACGAACGGTAAGCATTCTCACCCGATGATTTTGCCATCCATTAGTTTCCAAGGCTTTGTTTTGGAAGAAATTTGATGAAAAAGCCTACCGTATTTTCACATTTCGATAGGAAGGGAGGTATGCTCGATCGAGTTCGGGTGCAAGTAAGACCACGAGTTTAGTTAAATTTTAAATTTCTGCCTTCAAAGTTTAGCACTGACCAGGATATCTTAAAAATGACTTTCCTTAAATACGGGTGGCTCCTTTAACATTTCGTCTGGCCTCTTAGAAAACTAAGACCCCTTACTCCGACTTACTTGTGCTACTTCAACTTTAGTGTTCTCAACTATTTTATCGCGAAAAAGAGCCGCGAAGAGAACAGAACAAAGCTAAGTCAATGAACTTGTTGACGTTTAACGCGACTCAAACAATCCTTGACCAACAATCCTTTATCTTACAACCCTGGGGTGCTGGGGTGAGGTTTCTTGAGGTTGTTGTTGCGCTAGCAATTAGGGAGTTTGAGCATAGTCGTCCCAAGCTCACGTCTCGAGAGAGACGAAAGATTAATTCTTGGACACGTATGTATTTATTCATGAAAGCGTCAAGCGTTGTGTTACGCGGTGTTAGGTTACGCGAGGAACCGTTGACTTAATACGTTATCAGGAATAGTTTAAAACGTTGTCAATTTACAACGCTAAATATTCCGAAATGTGAACATTTTACACTCCTTGTGTGTCCGTTGCGGTTCCTGGTGATTTCTGCCATGAGACGGCTAGGAAATGTACAAAGTTTTAAAACATAAGTGTTTCGCTTTTGAGCTTTTGAGCAATGTGTGTTGTGTGATACGTGATGCCCTACCTGACAGACCGGGAAACCCGCCTACGCGGGTCACCTCACCTATCATGTAAACGTGATCAAGATAAAATAAGAAATTATATGGACAGGCGGGTTACCTCACCCACTTGGGGTTCCCCCACCTCCATGTAAACTAGCCCTAAATGTGGGCTTTTTATCGACCTCGGCTAGGCGGGTTGCCTCACCTACCTGGGGTCCCCCACATCCATGTAAACAGGCCCGTGATGTAGTAACTCCCAGTTCCTGTTTACATGGATGTGGGGGACCCCAGTTCTAATCATTTAATGGTAAAGATCCTATATAGGAAGAATGCCTAATTTTAATTATTCATGTAGAGACAAATCATTTGTAGTTGTAGTAAAGAATCGTGTTAAAAAGCCGAAATGTTACGAATAAACTTCGCTAATTAAAAATTTAAGCAATTTTTCAAAAGCGTTGACCGTACAAATATTTTTTACTGCTGTAATGACTAACGGAGGCATCGGGAAAGGCATCGAAAAGAATGATATTTACGTTTCGTAACTTGTTGCAATAACCACAAGAGATTTCCTTAAACAGGTATGTAACTGTTCTTTAAGTATTTTGAAGTACATATATAGATCCCGGTTTCCTATCCTGATTATCTTATTTCGGCGATAATTTAAATAGGTAAGAATCACCGTCTTTAAGAGTTACGCTAAATTTCTCCAAAGGCAGTCTCAGGCGATTTGCGGAACATGACCGCTAAGTCTTAAGTACATGTTTTTCTTTTATTTCATTTCAGTTTCTTTGTTTTTGTTTTCATTTTTGTTGTTGTTGCTACTTTTTTATTCATCTCTAACTTGAGGGTCTATGGCTGAGATGGTAAAGCGATATTATAGCTTTCGCTTGCTTTAGTCAGGAGAGGACTTTGCCCAAATTTATTAAATAAAGTAAAAACCCGCATATAAACATCTAGGTTTTTTCAAGTTAGCTTCCATAAGTTCTTATATAAATGGTGTTTACTATGAAATGAGGCTACCTTGGTTCTTAATCACGCTTTTCGTTTTTGTTTAAAAGAAAAAAAAAAACAACTTGTATTGGTGGGTGTGAGTGTGGGTGTGATACTGCGATGTATCCCAGCCCTATAATGCTCTGCTTTACATGGTTAACTTGTACACACACAGTCGGATATGTCGCACAGCTATGGATGTATTGACAGTAAAGTATTGTGGTCTTATAAAACTGCCGGTGTTACACTGCCACTGGCTAGTTTTTTGGGTTTTTTTTTTACCTTTCTGTATCGCATACAGTGCACTGTGTCAAATTTGAACAATGATGTCACTGATGACTTTCCCGAAACCTCCATTGGTTATTACGGCAGTGGAAATATTTCTACAGTGAACACTTTTGAAAAATACTTAACTTTTTACTTAGCGAAGTGTATTGGAAACATTTTGGGCTTAATAGC